CTACCCAATTATAATTGCATATTGAACATGTTTTTTTCTTAATTTATTATGGTATATGGTGATTTCACAGATGCCACAAAACTATTGGCTGTAATTCAGAGGTTACACATGCTACAATTATATTCTCAAATTTCAAATAGCTTTATTTGATAGACAAACAATTCTTAGCCATTATAAGAAAAACCCAGCAATTAGATCTCTTATGATATGACATATTGTGTGCATCAGCTATTATTTTTCTTCATAGGAACATAAAAAGGAAACTACAGATTCATGTTTAAATTATGCAAAGTCAGCTTTTACTTATTCTTTACAACACAGATAATATGAGCCAAAGATCATCATTTAAAAGAAATGAGAGATTACCTACAGATTGCTTATTTGTTTAGTGCACATATACTCCATCTTTTCAGTTGACTGACTGATTATGTGCCATCAAGTTGGTGTCAACTCTTAGCACTACTTAGATAGATTTTTTTTCCCCAGGTAGATCTATTCGCAAACTGGCCCTTCAGGTCTTCCAATGATGCACCCACTGCTACTGTAATTGAGCCCATCCACCTTGCTGTTAGCTGCCTTCTTTTTCCTTCCACCTTTCCAGCATTATAGACTTCCCCAGAGAGCTAGGTTTTCACATAATGTGTCTGAAGTAGGATAATTTAAGCCTGGTTATTTGAGTTTCCAGTGAGAACTCTGGGCTGATTTGTTTGATGATCCATTGATTTGTTTCTTTGGCTGTCCATGATATTCTCAGGAGTCTTCTGCAACACAGAGTTCAAAAGCATCACTACCCTTTTTCCATCCTGCTTTTTCAAACTCCAACTTTTGTTTCCATATAGTAGGAACAACACAGGGAAAACCATTGCCTGTATGGTTCTGATCTTTGTAGGTATAGAGACATCACAGCATCTGACTATCTTCTCTGGTATTCTACCAAGTGCTAATCTGCAGTGTATTTATTGACTGTTGGTTCCTTTGGTGTTGATGGTTGATCCTACAGAGGCTACCCACCACTTCTATATCTTCTTGTCAGTTCTAAGTTAGTAGCTGTCATTAGCTTGCTCTTTGTACTTAATCTTAGTCCCATTTTTTCACTGTGCTCCTTGATTTTCATTACTAGAGTTTGCAGATCCTTTGCATTTCTAGAGCATGCAGATCCTTTGCATTTTCAACAGAGAAGTGTCATCAGCATAGCACAAGTTATTGATGTTTCTTCCAATTTTAAAACCATGTGCAACTTCCTCCAATCCAATATATATATATTGTACAGAGTATAAAAACTTGTCTTACTACCTTGCTAACCTGAAGCCAGTCTGTTTTGCCATGTCCCTTTCAGGCTGAGGCTTCTGATCTGTGCATAGGCTTTGCATGAGGACTTGAGAATTTAGAATTTAGAATTGAGAAGTTCGGAGAATCCCATTTTCCTAAGCATATTCCACAGGTTGACATGGTTAACACGCTCAAAAGCCTTTCTATAACCAATGAGGCACGTACTGATTTCTTTTTGGTATTCTTTGGCTTTCTTAATTATCCAACATGCACCAGCCATAATATTTAGAAAAGGCCCTTCCCTAAAATCAGCCATTTCCCCGGCTGCCATCTGCCATCTCCCTTTCCAATCTTTTCACTAGAGGTGATAAAATATAATAGAAGATTGTTCTAACTAAAAAAAAATGAAAAGATAATTAATGCATATCAGTAAAAGAAAACAAAGGCAGTCAAGCCATCTTAAAAGACAAATATTTCCTTGAGCAAGACAGTCTTTACAAGCCAGCACGAAGACAGCAAGGAGTAGATTAACCTAACTCCCCTGGCAGGGAATTCCAAAGTCTCACATGAGATTAGTTAATTTAACCTCAACTGCTGGGTTTGAGGATTACAGTATGTTATTCCGTTTTGCACCCCATTTGTAATGATCATAGATTTGTTTCTCTTTTATTTTTGATAGTCACTTGAAATGTGAACGCTTTTAGGGAATTTCTTTCCCATTAGCAAAATGAGCCTGCTAAGTTAATAAATTCTGCGGCTGTTTCCACCATGAGTAATTGCTAATAGATGGAATAGATCTAATGGTTCTTGTTACTGCATTTGATTTCATGACTTTAAGGCTCTTTTATTAAATTACTAGCTTTGGACAGTATTTAATGCTTTAAATGTTTGGGTGTCTGTTGTAATTGGCACAAGCTTCAAATTCAGATCCCAGTTTATCATTTCACTAGTTACAGGAAAAAAGAGCCAACCACGCTGCTGAAATGTACAGGTGCTTCTTGATAGACAGCATAGGTACTTTGAAAAGGGCTTCAGAAGAGCTCCCCCTTCATGGAAGGATGAAATCGTGGCTTTATAAAAGGCAGGAGAACTTTCGCTTTCACTTATTAGAAGCCAGCTATGGGAGGGCACCGTGGGAGGAAGGAGTATGTTCCTCACTCAGCCACCTGGCTTTAGAAATGACTGGCACAAAGCTATGTCTTTGGTCATGATAAATAATTTTGCCCTCCTATCATATACTGATTAGTGGCTAGTGTGAGTTAATTATTAAAATATCCAAAGAGCTAGCTGCTTGATTTACCAATGAATCATATTTTTATTTTATTTTTTTCTGGCCAAGTCACTCCAAAGCTAAAGGGAATGTTTCCATAACTGCCCTAATGGTGTGATTGTAACTTTTGAAGTGTAGGGACTCATTATAGTAACTACCATAGCGATCCATCTGCTTTGGTTTGCTTGATGCACATGTTGGTGCACATTCTAGGTAAGGCTTTCGTCATAAAGCTCAGTTATCTAAAATAAGGCAGGTATCCAGTGCAGTTTCTGGGAATAATCTCTGGTGAACTTTACTTCTGTCTGTATTAGGTGCAGATTTTAAAATTCAGTAAACGTTAATAAAACACCTTCAGAGAACCCAAATACAATGTTTAGTTTTTAAAATAAACATGTGCTAATATTTATACCCATCAAAGAGAAGGAAACACGTATAGAGCCTCTACTGTGTTATTTTCCCCATTCTCTGACTTCCTGAATGCCCGTCTGCCACAGTAAGAGAAAAACTTGAAAGGCTCATCTCATCCGCTTTCTGGAGATCGATCCATCATCAGGCATTTTGGCAGATAATGATATCGTTGTTCCTGCCTGATAAAGTCCGTGTATTAAAATCTTTGAACTTCAATACAGTTCATAAAAATAGTATGGCAGGTATGATGAAAATGCTGAAGATTGGGACAGACAGATATGGTTTCCAAGCGTACTCAGTAAACAATCTCTTCCTATCTTCCTTAGGGAAAAGCAGTAGAAAAGACTTTTTTTTCCAAAGTTTCAATGGTTGGGACAATTTAATCTTTTAATCAACACATTTATGATTATTAGGAAACACATATGTGGACTAGCAGGGAGTTCCCATCTTCAAAGGAACACATAGTCAGTTTTTAATGACTAAGTGTGCATTCTTCTGGAGTTTCAGCTAAGGAAACAGTTTAGGCAACCTAGTTGTATAGAAATTTGTATGTAAAAAACCCAAAGATTAAATCTGAGTATCTAAGAATTCTTAATTGTTTGATAAAAGTATGCTTTAGGTGGATGCCTTATTGGATTGCTTAAAATGTATAGTTACTGTTGCTGACGCTTATATATGTATGTTGGGGGAGAGGCATTTACAGTCTAATACTGAAGTGCAATTATGCCTTTAGTGAAACATTTCTCAAGCTAATGCTTTGCCATATCCAAGGAGCAGGTTTTCCTGCCCTGCTCAGAACCATTGTGACATTCAGGGGTCTTCTTGGACTCATGCCTCTTGTTGAGGAGCAGGTGGCAGCTGTGGCCAGGAAGGCCTTTGCACAACTTCAACTGGTGTGCTAATTGCACCTATTCCTGGACCAGAAGGTTTTGCTTGTGATCACCCACCTTATTCACCTCCCAGTTGGATCACAGCAATGTGTGCTCTAAGGGGTGCCCTTGAAGACCACTCAGAAGCTGTAATCGGTCCAGAAAGCATGTCATGGGTAGTTATGAGCATACTGTGGTATGGCCATGTAACATCACTGCTTTGCAAGCTGCACTAGCTTCTAATAGGCTTACAGGTATAATTCAGGGTTCTGGTTATTATCTATAAAGCCTTATGGCCCTACATGGCACAAGACTGGGTTATTTGCAGGATTGTCTATCTCCAATTATATAGTCCTGTCCCACAGGCTGGGCATGCTCCAGTCCGTTCATTGTGCCAATGTCATGTCTATATCTAAGAAGTCTAATTTGGAAAAGGCAGTACCTACCGTCTGAAATGATCCCCACCAAGATTTTATTGGCCCCAAAACCTGCTGGCCTTTCAGAAAGCATTAAAAACCTGGTTTTTAATTTGGGTTGGGATGCTAGGTGTGCCTTTCTTGGGGATGGATGATGTAGCTGGCCAGAATATATTTTGCTTTTTATTTTTAATTTTGTTGATTATTGTTTTTAAAGTGTTGTTAGTCACTCAGAGTCACTATGGTAAGTGAACAGCCAATAAACTAATTACATAAATTAAAAAATAAATATTTCCTTGGAGATCATCTCTCTCTGTCTACAAACTGAAGGAATTCCATTATATTTGTTACATTATTCATTCTGAGCTTTGTCAAAGGGAAATTCTGTGCAATGAATTTTGTCAGGTTAGAAACAGTGATTTCATTTGCCCAAATGCCTGATAATGAGCAGACGTGCTGTAGAAGAGGACTGAGGTGGTTAAATCTTAATTGTGACCTTACCTGTTGTCTCTTCAAGAGAGAGAGAAAAGCACTCAGTAACATCCTTGAAATGCAGAAACCTATATTTATCATGCGTGTATATCTAGATATTAATTTTGCTACTTTAATCCTTTAGGGAAGTTTCTATGGGAGGTGTTAATTTATCCATTGCAATCTGTGGCTAATATGACTGGAGTTTCAGACTATTAGTTGTGTTACATGAGTTAATTTCCCTAGCAATAAGATATAGATGTCATATTTTAATAGATTTTTCCCCCCTTTCAGATGAGAACTCACCAGCAAATTTCTGGGATTCCAAAAATCGTGGTGTGACTGGAACACAGAAAGGGCAGATCATATGGCGAATTGAACCTGGTCCCTATTTCATGGAACGTAAGTGTTCTAGTTAACACAAAATGTATATGTGAATAGCTCATTTCTAGAAGAATGCTTTGCATCTTTGCAATGAGTTTCTGAAATATTTTAGTCTACTATAGAATTTGAACCCTCTCAAAATCTTATCAGGAAGAAGACAATGGCACTATAAAATCTATTGATTCAGGAATATTAGTAAGTAAACAATGAATTCCTACATATATACATACTTATCACATTATTCACTTTTGAGGCAAGTAGCGTTATTCAAGCAGCAGGAAAAAAGTAAGAAGTAGTAAGCAGAAAGAACTGGATGTAGCCGATGAGAGAAGACAAGAGAAAAGGAAATAAAAGTAAGCCTAGTTTATGCCATGTGCTTCAACTCTCCAAACCTTGATATTCTTGCTAACTATCCTGCCTTCTGTCATGTCTACCAATTCATACGTTACCTTTTGTTCTTTAAACTGCTTACATTTCCTGTTTTAGGGTCTTATCAGCTGAATGTGAAAAAAGCAAGAAATCTGAAAACAAATGTTTGGAAACTTTTTTGTTCAGGTTTTTACGCTACTTGTTTTACAGATCTTGTTAACTTTCCTACAGCTTGAGCAAATGTGGACCGTCAGAGCAAATTATATTATTATTATGTGTGGGTAAATCTACAGTTATTCACAGTCTAAGACTGGTGGAAACTTAATAATTCAAGTCCTAACCAAGTACCTAAGAATGATTAAGGTAGCTTCTAAGAATATAGGCAGTTCCAAGCAGGGTGTGTTTTTTTGTAAAATTAGGGTGTTCAGGTCTGATAAATTCAGTATTTCCAGATATTGAGGGAGTCCTTTAGGTATTGCTCCGAGGGCTCCAATCAATATGGGTATAACAATGGATTTTTTTTCTGTAGGTATTCAACTTCGATATGCGAGTCCCGATATTTTGTAATTTTGTTCAATTGTTTTTCCTCCACCCTAGTATCACCTAGTATAGCAACATCAATGAACCAGACTTTCTTCTTTTCAATAACTGTTGTATCAGGCATGTTGTAAACAAGATGCCTGTCTGTCTGGATCTTAAAGTCCCATAAGATCTTAACCTGCTCATTTTCCAAAGCCTTTTCAACTTGATGGTCCCAGTAGTTTTTACTACCTTTGAATCTAAACCTCTGGCAAAGTTTCCAATGAATAATCTTGGCAACTCAGTCATGATGCTGTTTGTAGTCAGTTTGTGAAATGTTGCTGTAGCCACTGATCGAATGGTCAGTTGTTTCATCCTTTTTACTACAAAGGTGACATTACGGTTGGTCGCACAGTCAGCCAGATGTTTAGGCTGGATTTGGCATTTTTATCCACCTATCCTTCCCAAGGACCTGGGATAGGCAGATGTTGTGTTTGGTGGTGTTAAAGGTATTGTCACAGGATGTAA